GCTGGGATTATAGGCATGCACCACCATGCCTGGCTTCAGTATTTCTAACTGCGTCAAAGCATCTGACCTATCATGGCCATATAACTGAAGATCAAATCCTACTTTCCTTCTCTGGCATGCTACCAGGACAATTCCAACTAAATAAAAATGAATACCTTTTTCCTCCTCATCCCATTTCTGTCATTTCCCTTCTCTCCCTCCCTCCCCGAGCCTCTCCCCTGACAAAGCCCTATCTCAGAGACTCTACCCTTAAGAGTGACTTGGCCTGCATTAGAGATGTTTGGGGAAAAGGATGGGAAGATAATCTCCTCCAGAAAGAGTAATGCGAACTCCTAAACAGTTCCCCCCAAATGGGATTCTGTATGCTTAGAAGGAAGTATTAGAGGGACATTTCCCCACTTTGGAGGCTGAGGCAAGATGACTGCCACAAGTTCAAGGCCAGCTTGAACTCACAGTGAGACCCTATCTTTAAAAAGAAAAAAAAAAAAAGACATTTTTCACTCATAATCAGTAACTACTCCAGAGTGAGGTGACTGGGCTCGGACGTCTTCAGCCGAGGAAACCTCCACCAACTTTGGGTTGAGGGATTAAAGTCAGCATGTGTACCAGGAACATAAAAGACATCTAAAGTGGGGCTGAGGATTTAGCACAGCGGCAAAGTGCCTGCCTGGCAAGTGCAAGGTCGTGAGTTCGATTCCTGGTACCAGAAGAAAAACAAAACAAACAAACAAAAAAGACATCTAAAGTGATACTTGGTCCCTCAATGCAATGCACAGCAGCTTATTGTTAGCACCCGGTTCCCAAAAGGAGCCAAAAAAGAGAACATTGCAAACAGAAACAGAAACTCTGATAGCAAAGACCAGTTTCACCCTTGCCCTTACCTGGGCTCCTCCGCTGAGCTCTGTCACCCTCTACCGCCCTCTACTGTCCCCCCCACTCACCTCTGCTCTGTCAGCTGGAGTGCCGGCTACCCAGACCCTGGAGAAAGCCCAGGGGAGCCAGGAGCCAAGATTAATTTCAAAACTTCTAACAGCAAATTCTCTTCTTAAATCTGGTTTGGGGAATTACATTTTCTTTTTTTTTTTTTTTTTTTTTTTTTTTTTTGGTTTTTCTCCGGTACCAGGAACTGAACTCACGACCTTGCGCTTGCCAGGCAGGCGCTTTGCCACTGAGCTAAATCCCTAGCCCCGGGAATTACATTTTCAATCTACTTTGAGCCCCAAATGATCCTGTACCTCTGGAACACAGTAGCAAATTATTAATCATAGTAAACAGAACCATGTTAACTGCCAAGTTTTTTTTTTCCCAAAAAATGCATGTTTTCTCTGTGATAGCTAACTAAAAAAACCATATTCTACCCAGCCACTCAGATGTTTACTGCTCACATCTCCCTCTTGTTTCTTCTAATTTACAGCAAACAGGCTAGCAAGCAGGTGTAGAATGTCCAAGGCCAACCTCAAGGGCAGGGACCTGTGCGAGGTAACCTCTCTACAGCTGCTCTCTCTCCACCCCTTGTGTTTGGAAAAAACTTCACGCTGACATAGGAAGAAAACCCACAATGAAACACCTCCCAAGTCTGGGTGGCGAGCAGGCCCGGGGAAGGGGGGGCGCAGGCGTGTGTGGCGGACTCCAGTCCTTACATCATGGAGCTGGCGCTGTTAACTCTGTGTCAATAGGCTCTGAGCACGGTAAGGCGCGAAGTTCTGTGCGAGGCCCAAGCTTACAAGACAGACGTTTACTTCTGCTGAATCGGAAACAGACTGTCCTTCCTCTCTTTTTTCCTGCATTTAAGAGGATAGAGGCTACACAGAACAGCGAATGTTCTAAGTTACACAGAAAATTCAGTAAGAGCTTATAAAATTAAAGAGCCTAAGCTGGACATTATACAAATGTCTGGAAGCAAGTAGTTCTGACAATAGACTCCCTCGTCAGTGCAATTCCATAAAATCCAGCCAGTGTAAAGTCAGCATCTCAAGCCCAGAGTTGCATAACCCTCATGCCTCTTTCTGGCCACTTCCCAGCACTCTGGAAATACAGCCCGGGGATTTGGGTTTTATATCCACTTCTTCCACACAAACAACTTTTCTTTTTCGGAGACAGGGTCTTGCTATGTAATTCAGGATGGCCTTGAGCAAACTGTGTAGCCCAAGCGGGCCTTAAACTCTCAGCAATCCTCGTGCCTCAGCCTCCTGAGTGCTGGGATTACAGCAAACATGGGTGTGCGCAAACATGCCCAATCTCTATCTAGTTTTTACAAATTCAGTTTCAGGTTTTTCCTTCTTCCTTGGACGCAGGGCCTCAGGCACGCTAGGCACCCATACTCAGCATACCTGCTCTCCCACTGAGCTATAGTCTTACTGTTTGGTGGTACTAGGGATTGAATCCAGGGGTGCTCACCATTAAGCTACATTCCCAGCCCTTTTTATTTTTTATTTTGAAATAGTCTCCCTAGATTGTCCAGGCTGACCACTAATTCACAATCCCCCTGCCTCTGTCTCCCTAGTAGTTGGGATTATAGGTATATACAACCATGCTCAGCTACTTTTGTTTTGTAAACTGGCATGAGAGCTATGGATACATAATTGACACAAATTTGTGAGGGGATCACTAAATTTCTTTTCAGTGAAATTAACTCAAGATAGTTAGGAGTTTTGCTCATTTGGAAGTGGAATATAGTAGTTCTTTTCCCCAAAGTCTGCTTCTTCTAAGCTCCCTCCTAATTAGTTTCATAAATTTAAGGCAAATTTTCAGGTCACTTGATGGTACAATTATCAAAGACTCTTGGTGTATGTGTATTAGGAATATTATCTCAAAAAACTTTTAATAGAAAGTCAGTTATTCAAAAAATAATCAAGTCACAATATCAGAATTCTCTTATTTCTATGTTTAAAGCAGTGAGAACTGAGAAATTTGGTCTATGCTTTTTTGGTCCCTTAGATAAAGTATTCCTTATATATAACTCTGAACTTTCCAGTTGTATACAGAGCCTTCCCGGGCCCAAGCACTGTTCTATGCTATAGTTATTTGGTGGTTTTTTTCCCAGTGCTGAGGATCATACCCAGGCCTTGTATGTGACAGGCAAGTGTCCACCACTGAGCTTCACCCCCAGCCTATCGTCTTCTTATTTGCCCTCTGCATTATTTTCTCCTCCTTCTTTTGTGGTAGTAAGGTTTGAACCTAGGGCCTTGCACATGCTAGCCAAGCACTCTACAACTGAGCTACACCTCAACCCTTTTAAAATTTTTAAAAAAATTTTGAGACAGGGTCTCACTAAGTTGCCCAGGCCGGCCTTGAACTTTCAATCTTCCTGCCTCAGCCACACAAGCAGCTGAGACTACACATATGTGCCACCATGCCCATCTTAAAAGAGGGATAAGAGGAACACAATGCAAGTTGTGGATCTTGCATGTTAAGATGAAACAGTTTCCACAGAAACTCCAGTATGAGGCTCCGTGGTACCTCCTGACCTCGTCACTTCTGTTTCTCTCTCTTCCTCCTCTCTTTCTGTGATGACCACAGCATCTATCTCAGCTATCTCTTCAACCATGGTGAAATCAACTCCGTTGGGCTGCTGTCGGGACATGGCCTCCAGCCTAAGGCGGTACTGTTCTGCCTCCTGTTCTTTCTTGAGGAGCTGGTGCCGATATTCCTGAGCTCTTCGATTGGCCTCCTGGAGTTGCTGTTGTAGTAACTCCCTTTCGCTGCCTTCCTGTAAAGTAAACCATGTCATCACTGGTGAGAATTCCTGACCTCAGATCATCCAGAAGAGAAACAAAACAACGAAGAAGGCCCTGACGCTCATGGTGTCTGAGGCCTTTTCTTCCCTCCATCAGTGCTACACACATTACCTTACTTTCCTCCACACTGTTTGCTATCTCCTCCATCCTTGGTTTCTTTGTCACTGGCAATTTCTCTGCTTCTTCCTCTTCCTCCTCAATTACAGTCTCCTCTGCAACCTGACCAGCAGGTACAGTTAGAACTACAAACCAAAAGACACTAGTTAGAGGTAATGGCCATACAGTAAAACAAAGAGGTTTTGCTTGCTTTTAACTAGAAGACACAGTGAAATACATTCCGATATACTGATTTTCATATTCTTTGGACTTCAGAATCAAAGGTAAGGAATGCTCTGCAGAGAGAAAGGGAAAGGGGCACTCAGGCGCAGCAAGGAAGGGTACTGATTTGCAGGCTCAGAATCATGAAGATAAACCTGAGGCCTGGGGCTTTATAGAAAGATATTTGACTCTAGGTCAGTAGCTGTGAACATTTAGCTTACTAATTCTGCAAAAATAACCTGCCTAAAGAAGGCCAAAAGGTCTAAAGTTATACCACTGATATAGTTTAAAGGCAGAGCACATGCTCACTATGCACAAGGCCCTGGTTCAATCATCAGTAACAAACCAACAGAAAAGGAAGAATGACAGATGTCTTTATATAAGATTAAGAAACCTCTAATGAAAGTGATTAGCCATTAAGTATACCAAAAGAGTTATTTGCCTTCTTATAGAAGTGAGAGGATCAACACACAGCACAACACACATCATGTACCACACACCCACTGGAATGGCTAAAAATTTTTTTAAATTAGCAATAACCCTGCCTCAGATAAACCTCACTGGCTGCGATACTGCCACTGTGCAAAGCTTTAAATTTTTTTTTTAAATGGTAATACTTCACACCGGGGAAGAGGTAGAAAAAACTGCATTATTCACAAATTGCTACATAGGAATGTAATAGGGTACAGCCACCCTAGAAAAGAGTTCAGTAGTTTACTTTAATTAATTAATTAATTAATTGTGTGTGTGTGTGTGTGAGAGGTACTGGGAATTGAACCTAGGGCCTTCACACCAAGTTGCATCCTCAATCCTTTTTATTTTGAGATAGGGTCTCAGTAAATTGCTTAAGCTGAAAAGCTGGGCTTGAACTTGCAATCCTGCTCAGACCCCCACAGCACTGGGATTATGGGCATGCATCACCATGCTTGGTTTATAGTTTAGCAGTTTCTTATCATACTAAACATGCACTTACCATATGACCCAGCAATTACATACCTAGGCATATATCCCATAAAAACCTGTACATGATTGCTCTTAACAGCCTTATTCTCAGTTGAAAACTGGAAAGTATTCAAATGTTATCAATGGGTAAATAATTAATATACATACTCATGGAATAGTACTCAGCAATTAAAAGGAATAAATGTTTCTTTTCTTTTTTTTTTTTTGTCTTTTTGAGACAGGGTCTCGCTATGCAGTTCAGGCTGACCTTGAGCTCACTTTGTAGCCCAGGCTGGCCTCGAACTTGCAAAGATCCCCTCCTGCCTCAGCCTCCTCAAGTGCTGGGATTACAGGAGTGCGCCACCACACCTGGCTTCTTTTCTTTTCTCTTCTTTTCTTTTGTCTTTTTTCAGACAGGGTTTCACTATGTAGTTCAGGCTGGCTTTGAACTCACTTTGTAGCTGACGCTGGCCTTGAACTCACAGTGATCCTCCTGCGTTAGCCTCCCGAGTGCTGCGATTACAGGCGTGCGCCAGGGTCTTCCTAAGTATTGTACACTGGCCTTAAACTCACTATGTAACACAAGCTGGCCTTAAACTCTCAGTGATCCACCTGTGTCAGCCTCCCAAGTGCTAGGATTTCAAGTGTGTGACCAGCAAAAAAGGAAAATACTATTGATATAAAGAACAGCTTGGATTAATTTTAAGGGAATTATGCTGAGTGAAAAAGCCACTCTCAAAGCTGGACAGGGTGGTACATACCTAGAACCCCAAGGATACATAGTGAGTTCAAGGTCAGCCAGCACTACATAGCAAGATCCTGTCCCTTAAAAAAAAAAAAAGCAATCTCAAAAGGCTATACACTGAGCTATGTAGCTCAGTAGTACAGTGTTTGCCTAAGCACACCTGAGGCCTGGGCACCATCCCCAGCACCACAAATATTCATATCTATATATCTATATATCTATCTCTCTCTCTCTATATATATATATAAAGTTACATATGATAGGATTTTTTTTGGAGACAGGGTCTCAACTATGTAGTTCATGCTGGCCTTGAACTCACAGGGAACCTCCTGCCTCAGCCTCCTGAGTGCTAGGACTATAGGTGTGTACTACCACTCTGAGCCTGTTTTTCTTTTTCAGAGTTTATTTGTCCCACCTTGCACCTGGGATTCTCTCAGGCCCACTTTTTTTTTTTTTTTTTTTTTTTTTTTTTCAGACAGGGTCTTGCTATGTAGTTTGGGCTGGCCTTCAACTCACTATGCAGTTCAGGCTGACCTTGAACTCTCAGCAATCCTCCTGCCTCTGCTTCCCGAGTGCTGGGATTACAGATGTGTGCCACCACGCTTGGCTCCTGATATTTGTTTTAATGCCTCATTTTCAGAGAATTGGACTGTCTAAAACATCTTCTAATGAGCAACTGTCTTCCAGAGATAACTCACCTTGCTGTCCATCTTGCATAGTTACGATAAATGGCTGGCCAAGGCTTCCGGTAGGGATGGCAGTCTGTATGTTACCCAGAGGGACTCCATCAGTCACTATGGTGATGACTCTCTGGCTTCCACTTCCTACCACTTGCTGGATTGATGAGTCAACAGAATTTCCCTCTATGATTTCCTCTGAATTGGCTAGACACAATGAAAGAAAATTTAATATTTCAGAGCTTTAAAAAATTGGAGTACAGCAATTTCATCCTCCTTGAAATTGATGCAATTCAAGGAGAGGAAAAATTGAAAATAAGAAATATTCAACAGTTTACAAAAACGTTTGTGAACAATGCTAAGTCAAAGGAGAAAAGAAAATAGGGAATGTATTACAATAGTGTTTTCTAAAATGTCTTCACTGAGATGTTAATAGCTTTCTTCTTCTTCTTGGTTTTTTTTTTTGTTTTTTTTTGAGACATAGTCTTGCTGTATAGTTTAGGCTGCCCCTGAACTAACCATATAGCTCAGGCTGGCCTCAAATTTGCGGTAATCCTCCTACCTCAGCCTCCCAAATGCTGAGATTATAGGCATGCGCCACCATGGATATTAATAGCTTTCAAAGAAGATGGGTTCCACATATAAGTACATCCTTAAAAGGCTAGTTTAACTATGCTTACATTTTGTTTTGTTTTGCGAAGTAACAGAAGTTTCAATAAGCTAATGAGCATTGGGAGTCTCCTACACTGTCTAGGATATTATCTTGAGTTTCCCCAATTATTTGATCTTGAAATGCCTGGCCCTTTTTTGGTGGTACCAGGGACTGAACCCAGGGCCTTTAGGGCCTTTGCACTACACGCCTGCCTTTTTTTTTTTTTTTTTTTTGAGACAGGGTTTCAGGCTGACTTGAACTCACTATATAGCCAAGACTGGCTTGAACCCATGGTGATACTCCTGTCTCAGCTTCCCAAGTTCTGAGATTACACCAGGCTTTAGGGAGTATCTTTTTTTTTTTTTTTTTTTTTTTTTTTTTTTTTTTTTTTTTTTTTGTCTTTTTGAGACAGGGTCTTGCTGTGCAGTTCAGGCTGGCCTTGAGCTCACTTTGTAGCCCAGGTTGGTCTTGAACTCACAAAGCCCCTGCCTCAGCCTCCTGAGTGCTGGGATTACAAGCATGCACCACCACACCCGACTAGGAAGTATCTTAATAGCCTAAAAATGTGTGAAATTTAGAAAAAATTAAATCAGAGTACATCGTTTCTGTAGAAAAAAAATGGAGACATTTAATAGTGAATTAACAAAATAATATGTCAAACAGTCAAGGCATTGAAGCTTGACAGACAACTGTGGTAGCTGGCCTTCCAACTGACAACAGTAGTATTAGTGGAGCTAATATTTACTGCTCACTAACTGTATTCTGGGTACCTTTCTAAGGCTTTTTACATGTGTTATACTGAAAGAAGATATTTGGTTTGGTTAGTCAGTATCTCTACCAACCAACCACTATTAGAGGAAACAATTCCTATGATTATGGAATTTCTCTCCCTAAAGAGGCACAAGCAGAACTTTATAATAATAAATGGAGGTACAGACCATGCATATGCGATGCACTGAGGAAGTTCAATGGAAATAAGCATTTATATCTCTTAAAATCAAAGAACAGTTAAATGTTAAGAGCCAGATACTCTAATCCAACTATCATGCCAGAGATGAAGAAATTAAAGCCCTGGAGATGTTACATGATCAAAGAGCAAACTAAGAGAACAGCAAGGAACCTGTAATCCCAGCACTTGGAAAGCTGAGGCAGAAAGATCACGGTGCGTTCAAGGCCAGCCTGGACTAAATAAGTGAGTTCAAGGCCAGCCTGCATTACATAGTGAGACTCTACCTCAAAAAAAGAAGAACAGCAAGAAGTTAACATACTGCTTTTCTCTGTGCTGTACCACTCACTCACACATATTTGAGTAGACACCTTTATGATTACTGCTAGTCAGAAAAACAGGAATGGAATTGGAGAAACATTTTCATCAGCTAAATGTTAATGGCAGAAAGAAATTGAACAATCTGGTTTTGTTTATGACAAAGCCAAGTGCTAGAGGGTTCTAAAAAGATTTCTAGATGCCTTGTGAGCCCAACCTACAACTATGTGTCCTTACCTATATAAAGCCCTAAGCTTTTCCTTCACTAGGTATGGCTAAGAGCCTTGAAAACTTACATTCCCCCGTCTCCAATGTACATGCCAAAATAAAATCTCCAGTGAAAATAAAAGCAAGCCAAACTTAAATACACAAACTCTGACAATGTGGAAGGAGCAGTGCCTTGTATTTTGATACTTCAATACAAGATACCCAGGTTGCTACTTTGAATCATTCTAGGACTGCATCAGTCAAAATGTAACAGAGTATCTAAAAAAATCCGCTAATGTAGGACTAAAAATTTCAATCTGAAGCAACTGCAGTCAGGACAAACAAGCTTCAAACTGTAAAAATACAAAGGAATAACTCAATTATTTTCTCAGTCATATGGTTCAGACGCCTGGTAATATTTCTTAGTGATTTTTCTTTGTGATATTCAATGACTCCATGGCCCTTTTTCTTAGCTGTCTCTATTTAACTATACTTCTGTACTACTGCATGCAAATTAAATCTGCTGGAGGTTTTAAAAACAAAGGAGAAATGGTAATTCGCCCAGCAGGCCTCACCTCCCTTACCTACCTGCGGCTCTGTGTGAGTTGGAGAGAGGGGTGGACGCCTCAGCGAGCGCGGCAAGAGTGGCCAGCACTGAGGTGGGAGAATTTGACAACTGTACTGCCGAGGCACGGGGGTCACCTATTTCAGTAAAAAAAGTAAATAAGCCCAGTGGAGAGAATAAATTGAAGTAAACTAAAAATGGCTTGCCGAATAAAACTTCCAGCTTTTCACTCTAATGCCCTCAATCTTCTTCTCTAACCCAAACTGATATAAACCAATTATCAGGGTGTTAAGACTCTTTAAGGGTTAAAATATATTTTCCTCTAGAGTGGATTAAATTAATGTGCTGGGCAAGGGGCTGAGACATTCCCCTCTTCTGATCACTCTCTTGGTGCTGCGATGTCAGTGGCTGACAGACCACAGCCATGCCCACTCCCTCGGCTGGCACAGCAGTGCTGCCCTGGCAGCAGCCTCACCCTAAGCTAAGCAGTGCCAAGGAACAGGCTCCTCCCCTGCTCCACTATGACCTCTGTTCCTCAGCTGGAAAGGTGAGAATAGGGCTGACCTCTAGTTCAGGGTCACTTAAATATCTGAAGTTACAGATATCAAGCGGTAACTGAAGTTACAATGTTAAGCGGTGGTACAACCGACTAACGAGAAAGCCAGTAGTTACCTACTTCAATTATGACACAAGGGGGTTCTTGATTTTTGAGACAGGGTCTTGCTAAGTAGTCTAGGCTGGGCTTGAACTCACTGTGTAGCCCAGGTTGGTATCAAACTCTCAGATGCCGAGATTATAAGCATGTACCAGCACACCTGGTACAAACTCTTCAGACCAGGATGTAGAAGGATGTATTATGGTAGCGTAGGCAATCTCATTGAGTTAGAAAAAACTACAATTTGAAAAATTAAGTAACCTGCAGAGGGTCATATAGCCAGTAAGATTAGAACCTATTTCATCTGATTCCAAAGCCTATGTTCTTTAGGAATCAATACAAAATTATTTATATTTGACTCTGGAATGTTCTCTATGACTGCGTTGAAACAGGAAATTCAGCCAGGCGTGGTGTTGCACACCTGTACTCCCAGCACTCAGGAGGCTGAGGCAGGAAGATCGTTGTGAGTTTGAAGCCAGCCTGTGCTACAAAGTGAGTTCAAGACAAAAAAAAAAAAAAACAGGAAATCCATCTTTATGGCTTTGATTTGTCCTGATTCATGTTTAAATTAGTCTGCCCTCCTGTAGCATTGATGATGACTAATATTCTTAGTCACAAATAGACAATTTGAAAGCAAACTTTACAGTATGGATTTTGGTATCAAAAGTATCCACTAAAATCAGGCATGTCTATAATCCCAGCACCCTGGGAGGCTGAGGCAGAAAGATCACAATTTTAAGCCTAGCCCTTACCAAAAAAAAAAAAAAAAAAAAAGACACGACAATTACACATTCATATAAAGCTTTGTCACAAAACATAAAATAAAAAAATGTGAATGTAGCTCAGTATGAAGGCTGTGGGTTCAATTCCCAGGTGAAAACAAACAAACAAAAAAACTAGTGGATCATGGGAAACAAGAGGCCCATCATTCCTGAAAAAAAAAAAAAAAAAAAAACTTTTAGCCCAATTGAGTAATAATACACAAAGTGAATTTGTCTTAAAACTTTTCTCTTTTCTTTAACCTGCACTGATTTAGCATTTGTAGGTCAATCTGCTCCATGAATATGATGACATGAGTGGTCAGTCCTAGTTCTAATGTTTAGCAATTTCAGTTTGCAGCTGTTGATACAGAGAGAAAAGAGCAGCTCTGCCAACTTCTCTATGCAAAACACAATGTTGGCCCAAAGACACAAAGCAAAAAATTCTGAATTTGTTCAACTCTGATGACAGCTTCAGATCAGATCTGGAAAATATCAGCAGTGACCAACTCTAGCTCTTTTCAGAGGTTTGTGAACAGATAACTACTGGATTCTAAGGGCTTTTACACCACAAAAGTATCTGTTCTAGGGCTACATGTATAGCTCAGTCATGTGTGAGGCGCAGTACCACCAATAAAATGAAACACCATTTTAATCAGTATGACTTGAACCATTACAAATCCAAAAGGTTATGAATGTTCTGACTACAGTTATATATATACTTAAGCTAGATTTTTGTTTGCTTTGTTTTTTTTTATGTTTTTGTTTCTTGAGAAAGGGTCTTGCCATGCAGTTCAGGCTGGCCTTGAACTCACAGTAATCCTCCTGCCTCAGCCTACTGAGTGCTGGGATTACAGGCATGTGCCATCATGCCTGGTTTAAATTTTTTTTTTTTTTTTTTTTTTTTTTTTTGTCTTTTTGAGACAGGGTTTCACTATGCAGTTCAGGCTGTTCTTGAACTCACTTTGTAGCCCAGGCTGGCCTCGAACTCACAGTAATCCTCCTGCCTCAGCCTCCCAAATGCTGGGATTACAGGCATGCACCACCATGCCTGGCTAAACTAAATTTTTGAATCAGTTGCCTGAAAGCAAAACGACTTTAAAACCATGGATAGCCTATAAAATGAAGGTCACTACTGCCCCCTTGTGCACATAACAGGGCCAACCTTTTTTAAAGGAGTCATATTTTCATCTAATAACCATTACCGAAGCCCGGGTATGAAACACACTGAAATACAAAATCTCAAAGTCTCAACAATACCTTCATAAAGTAGATATTATTACATTTTGTTTGTCTTTTTGAGACAGGGTCTCACTATGCAGTTCAGACTGGCCTTTGAGCACACTTTGTAGCCCAGGTTAGCCTCAAACTTGAAGCAATCCTCCTGCCTCAGACTTCGGAGTGCTGAGGTTACAGGTCTGTGCCACCACACCCAGCTAGTAGGTATTATTACATTATCAGAACGTTACCTGAGGTTGTTTTGGTGTTGGCTGAGGAAACAAGGCTAGCAAGGTTGACAACACCTCCTGAGGTGAAGATGAACGGAGCAGCCACAGTCACGGGGCTGGTCACAGGGCTGGTCACAGGGCTGGCTCTCCCAGGGTTAGCAGTGACCTGACTCTGCATTGCTTCCTGCAGACGAGACAGCACGTTTCAAAGTCAGAATACTCACAAGCTTCAGTGGTGCAGGCCAGGAAGGGGCAGACACCCCTCCACTCCCAGCAATGCTCTGTGGAGCAGAACTAGTTCTGCACACAATGTCCCAGGGAGCTCCGAGTTCTCATTAAGACTACTGTTTTTTTCTGTTGTTTTTTATCAACCCACAGCAACAGCAACATTAGGTTGCTTTCCCACATTTGTTTCTAGTTGAGAGAAGCAAAGGTATGTTATTTGCAAAAATTTTGTAGACTGTTCACTTCATTTTTCTAAATCTTGGGATTTTTTACTGCTTAGTCTGCACAGTCTAAGAAGTAATTTATGACACTCATATTCTATGATCAATTAGCCACAAGTCAATACGCTAGCCAGAGCTCCCTGCAGAGAACCTACAGCAAAAAACATTCTCTAGAGGTTCATCCAACCACTTGTTCTAGTCTGCTGCTAGGAAATTCCTAGGGGAATACAGTAGGCAACTAAACGAGCATCAGATTTCAAAGTCTACTTCCACATGCCACATTTTTGCTTCCAAGAATATTTGCTCAATTTTGGTGAAAAGATGCTTCATTTTATTTTATTTTTACTTTCAAGAGTTTTCTACAAACACGATTACTACTTTGAAAAGTCCAGTTATGGCCAGGTGTGGTGGCAAATATCTGTACCAGCATTTGAGAGGCTGAGGCAGGAAGATTGCTGGGAGTTTGAGGCCAGCATGGACTATATAGGACCCTGTCTCAACCAAAAAAAAAAGACAAAAAACACAAGTCCAGTTATGAATGGGCCCTACACAAGAAATGAAAGTTGAAAAAGATAAGCAGTCTATGGGGACCATCTGTCAGGAAAAACAAACAAAAAACTGAAAGTGTAGCAGAAACGGCTATTTTTCACATATAATTATCCTGTTGACTAAGCACTTGAATTGAAACATTATCCATTATTATCTGGAACCCATTAAATTTCTTCTTCAGTCTTTTAGTCATTTTTCCTACTCTCCACTATCACCTCTTTTTTTAGACAGTCTTGCTTGTGCAGTCCAGGCTGGTCTTGAACTTGCAGCAATCCTCCTGCTTCAGCCTCCCAAGTGCTGGGATTACCGGCATGTGCCACCATACCTGCCTCCACTACCACTTCTTTAGTTGAAGCTATCATTGGTACTTGCCTAGCTTAATAAAAGTCACCATGTGGTTATGAAGCACAGTCTTCTCCCCACAATATACACTGGACTCCAAACAATCATATTTTTGAAGCAAATCGAATGGTATCATCTCTTTTTTCTTGTTGTTTTTTTGAGACAAGGTCTCTCTATGTAGTTCAGGCTGCCCTCAGATTTGCATCAATCTTCCTGCATCAACCTGCTGAGTGCTGGGACTATCTATAGGTGTGTGCTTCCATGCTGGCAATGCTTATCTTTCCGGAACATTTCATGTTCTTTCACAGCTCATCTTTGATTTGCCTTTTTTTAGACTAACATACAATTTTCTCACTTTTCTGTCTACTTTGAAAACAAGCCAGGCACAGCGGCACACACCTATAATCCCAGTACTTTGGGAGACTGAGATGAACAGTTGCCAAGAGGCAGGAATATCACTGCAAGCTCGAGGCCAGCCTGGATTACAAAGTGATTTCAAGGCCAGCCTGAACTGCATAGTGAGACCCTGTCTCAAAATGGCAAAAAAGGGTTGGGGATATAGCTCAGCAGCACAAGCACCTGCCTAGTAAGTGCAAGGTCCTGCGTTCAATTCCCAGTACCAAACAAAAAAAAGTCATTTTGTATTTTCTGAATGTGTATCAGCTGACAGGAGACAATATATAGCTCTACAGTATATTGGGTCATAAGGAAGTCATCTCAGAATTAAAAATTAGCTGTGATGATTTAGTTTGTTTGTGTGTTTGTTTAAGGCTCACTATGTAAACACAGGCTGGCCTTGAATTCATAGGTAGCCCAGGCTGGCCTCAAACTCATGGTGATCTTCCTGCCTCAGCCTTCCCGGTGCTGGTATTACAGCTGAGCACCATGATATCTGAGCCTCTTTTTAAAATCTTTACCAGTACAAGTTTGCAGTACATAATGATATTTATCGTGGGGAGTTGGTATATGTACAAAACATATGTACAGAAAGTGTGCCACCGTGCCGAGCTGAGGAAAATTCAGAATTTTAATTTCTTTTACTTCCTCTTTCTCCTTTTCTCTCCCCTGTAACGATTTCTTAATTTTTTTTTTATTTGTTTGGGGTTTTTTTGTGTTAGGGACTGAACCCACTGCCTCTGCACTGAGTTACATCCCAAGCCTCTTTAAAACTTTTATTCTGAGACAAGGTCTCACTAAGTTGCCCAGGCTGGGCTAAAACTTGGCAACTCTCTTCCTTTCTTTTTTTTAAAGACAGGATTTCACTATGCAGTTCAGGATGGCCTTGAAATCACTTTGTAGTCCAGGCTGGCCTCGAACTTGCAGTGATCCTCCTGCCTCTTGGCAAGTGTTTTGTCTCAGTCTCCCAAAGTACTGTGTGTGCCACTGTGCCTGGCTTAACTGTTGTCAAAGTAGACAGAAAACTCAAACTTACAGTGATCCTCCTGCCTCAGCCTCCCCAGTGCTGGAATTACAGGCATGTGTCACCACACCCGGCCTCAAAATGACTTCTAATACCGTCTAAAATCAATTTTAATTAGAAGGGGAAGACCTAGGTGTGGTAGCACATGCCTGTAATCCCAGCATTCAGGAGGCAGAGTGAGGCAGGAGGGATCCTGCGAGTTCCAGCCCAGCCTGGACTACCTAGTGAGACCTTGTCAAAAGAAGGAAGGAAGGGAGGAAAGGAAGGTGGGGGACAGGGGAGGGAAGGGAAGGCAGGAGCACTACAGAGTACACACTTGTAATCTCAGTTGTTCAGGATGCTGAGGCAGGAGATTCAAGTGCAACAAGGCCAGGGTAGGTAACTTACAGAGACCCTGTCTCAAAATTTTAAAAAACTATAGATTTAGCTAAGTGATAGAACAGCCCAGGATTCAATCCCTAGTACCAAGAAGATAGAAAGAAAAAAGAAAGAGGATAGGAAAGGGGGAGAAAATGACAGAAGGGTGAGACATAATTTGATAAAATGAGGAAAATTCAGGGGTTTTTTCGTTTTTTTTAAGACAAGGTCTCACCAGGCGTGGTGGCGCACACCTGAAATCTCAGCACTCAGGAGGCTGAGGCAGGAGGATCGTTGTGAGTTCAAGACCAGCCTGGGCTACAAAGTGAGCTCAAGGCCAGCCTGAACTGCATAGTAAGACCTTGTCTCAAGAAGACTGAAAAAAAAAAAAAGACAAGGTCTCTCGCTGTGTAGTTTAGGCTGGCCTTGAACTCACTATGCAGCCCAGGTTGGCCTCGAACTCACAGCAATCCTCCCGCCTCAGCCTCCAAAGTGCTGGGATTAAAGGCATGTGCCACCACACCCAGTGAAAAGCTCAGTTTTGTTTTGCAGTACTGGACTGACCTCAGGGGCTGTGCATTGAGCTACATTCCCAGTGCTTTTTAAAGTATTTTTAAAATTCTGATGCCAGATGTGGTGGTGCATACCTGTAATCTCAGCACTTGGGAGGCTGAGGCAGGAAGATCACCACAAATTTGAGGCCAGCTTGGGCTACACAGTAAGTTCAAGGCCAGCCTAAACCACAGTCACCAAATTGCTCAGGCTGGACTCAAATTTGTTATCTTCCTGCTTCAGCCTTGTGGACTGCCTGGATTATAGAAGTGTGCCACCATGCCGAGCTGAGGAAAATTCAGTTTTAACTCAATTCCCACACAAAAAAATTCTCAATTTCAACTGAAATTTACTCTACCCATATGAAAGGAACCATACCTGGAGGATGACCAAAATCTCGGCATTGTTTTGTTCCAGGGCTATGTCAAAGGCTGACTTGTCAAACTTGCTGAAAGCATAGACATCAGCTCCATACTTGATGAGCAACTCTACAACATCCCGATGATGGTGTTCTGTGGCCCAGTGCAAAGCTGTCATCTTCAGCATGTCCTTGGCATTCACATCTGCACCATTCTGTTGGAGAAAAGCATTTCTTAAACAGACAGTGGCAATAGCAGCACAGGTGCAAGATCTCATCACCAAAATTCACAGAATTTCCACAGCAATTCTACATATTTAAATTTAGATCACTTTTAAGGAACATCAAAAGGAAAAATGTTTCTGAAATTGTCCTGAATGCTGAGAGACATGTTTTCAAACAGTATGTCTTCTAAGGATATCTCTGGGAAATTCTAACAGATGGAAGAGGAAGGGGAAAGAATAGATTTTTGTTGCATTTATTAAGAGAGCTGAGTGCCTTAAAAAATAGACCTAAGAACAGAGAACGCCTGCAGAAAAAGAATGAAATCAATAAAATCTGTTTAGCATTTAAAAAACTACAGGGGGGCTGGGGATTTAGCTCAGCGGCAAAAGCGCCTGCCTGGCAAGCGCAAGGTCGTGAGTT